CTTAAATTAAAATGCCTAAAGCTAAACTTCCCTTGTATTCACATTTCTAAACCTGTTGTCCAACAACAGAGAACATTATAACCTTTTTACTCCACAACACCAGTCAAATGCTTCCTTTTGTGATCTGATGTGGCTTCTTGTCATAGAATGAGGAAGAAAATATGTTCCATAGGCTACTTTAAAAAGAATACATCGATTAGCAATGGATTATAAATATACTTAATTATTATGAAAATACCAGAGATGGCTTGAATAACATAGATAAACCATGAGTGTTTATTGTCTTTGTTTTATCATTCAAAAACGTTTATATGTTCGGTTTACTCAGTTAAAGCTATAATAGCGATGCCTTTGTCCATATTAGGGATTTCCTGGAGGGTCATGAGTTCCGCTACTACTATGACTGGATATGTCGATTTATGTGCGAGGGCGCCCTCTGGCATCCAGTATGAATGAAACAAAAATCATGTGTTCCCTTTGTTTAGCTCCGCCCCTTCAAATGCAAAGGTCTATCTGGCAAACCCACTTTCATGATTATAGCCTACCTTATGGTTGAATAAATTCTCATACCGCTTCACTCAACAAGTCAAACTGAAATTGAACTCCATTTAATGTTGTCTTTAAGGTTAACCTCTAATACATGCTATAGCTTCAATTCTTCTCAATACAAGTGTGAGAAAGGAAGTTGGTGAGTGTCATTGTCATCTAAGCCTCCATGTACCATAGCAATGTGCTCCAATCTCCTAATCCAGTTTCCTGCAGGTTGTAACACCTGGCAGCATAAATGGACACACAGTATTAGATTCTGCGAGGCCAGGCCTTTCTCCTGAGCCAATCATTCATTCAACTTCACTGCACTTCCCGAGTCTCATGTTTAACTCATCCGTGTGCACGTATATGGACATTTCGGTGTATCTTTGTGTTTGTGTGCCCCAGAACTGTAACATAACCCTCACCTGAAGTTTAACTGCAGGACCTGGTCACAGTGTATGTGTTTTAAAAAAAAAAAAAGGTGTACCAAGCATATGTATTCTTCATTATCATCATCTCTGATTACTGTAATAATAATAATCACTTATTTTTAGCTTTCCAAATTCTGCTAGGAAGTCACAATAGGTTTGTCTGCCAAACCCAGACAAGCATTCATAATCAAGAACACACACAAAATATATTTATATCCACGGCTCATATACAACCAGAGTAAAGACAAACGACCCTGTATGTGCAAATCCCCAACTCTCTGACACACACACACACACACTATAAACGCACATACGTGTGCACGCTCCTCTCCGCCCCTTGCTCACACACTCAATCTATTTATACATCATGCCATGACCACACCATTCTAGGAGCACAGAACAGCAAGAGGACCCTGGGTGATTCTCTCCTTCTTTAGTTGCTTGTCTGTCTGTCCCTCCCTCTATTTCTCTGCCAAACATGTTTAAACACAAATGGCTTTCATACAAAGTCCTCCTCTGCCGTGCATAATCATAGGTCTGCTGCATCTTACAGCACTGCTCTAATCCAGTGTAGGACATTTTATTATATTTTATTTACATGCCTCATTTTTCTCATTTTGTAAAGGGAGAGCCAATAATCCCTTTAGGACACATAACCAACTATATAATTTTCAGTCTTGACAAGAATGAATCTCATAAAAATCTGTGAGTGTTTACATGCACAATCTTACACTCATTATACTTAATAACCCAACGACATGTGAGGTCACACAAGTGCTTTAAACAGTGTTCTTTTTTCAGGTAAATGTTTTTAAATTGGTTAAAAAAAATCACATATGCTTATTTAAATTTTGAATTCAAAACAAGAAACAAACATAATATAGAATGATTCTGATAGTTGTCAGTGAATGACTGTCAAAAAATATCTAGGTCATGTTTCACGCCCCTCCAGCAACCTATATACATTCAATGTATTCACAATGTATAAACTGTGATTTTAACTAGATTTACTATAATTTCAAACTTTAAAAGGGCATTAAAATGGAAACAATACAGCCCTTATCCCTCTACATGGAAAGCAATAGAAAATGTAGTATCTAAGTTAAGTTTAATTGTGTTTCCCCAAAACGATATGTTTGATTTAACCTGCAGTCTATTAACCTTCTGTGCTTTTTTTAGCCAGTGTACAAGGTTCTGTTTCTGTAGACTGAATTTTAGGTAACATCATATATCCTGCTCTGCGCTTTGAGAGGGTTGTGTGAATAGGACAGAGCCCACCTCTTGTCTGAGATCTTCATGTTTTCTAACAATATTCCAAAGCAATGGACACTTTTTACATGGGAACACATTTTTTATTTGTGGCCACAATATCCTTCATTTTCCCCCCACATGTCATGTCCAGGGCTCCGTACATATTAACTTGAAATTACCTTGTCTAACAAGCACAAACTGTGACAATCTTGTATATGCCGAGCGTAGGGGTCGACCGATTATCGGCACCGATATTAAGCATTTTTATGGTTATCGGTATCGCTCATTTTCAATTTAAAAGCATTTAAAGAAAGTTTTTGTCATGGCCCTTGTTATTTTTAATTTTGAAATTAATTTTCTTTTTTACACCAGACATATATTGGTTTAAAATATTGGTTATCGGTCTACTTAATCTGTATCGGCCCTGAAAAATACATATTGGTCGACTACTAGTCGAGAGATATCAGGACAAATTAGGGCAAATTAGAGCGCAATTCCATTAAGAGCCAATAGGAGGGGAAAATTTTGCAGGTGATTTACTGACAAGCTGCACATTAAAGAACACAGACGCAACATCTCATTTCCATAATGACCAGTGCAATCCACCATGAGCAGCACAAATTAGCACATGCTTTAAGACATGCTTTTTTTGGGGCGTAAAATAATGGCACACATACCAGTAATTTGACGAGCGCAAGCGTTAGTAAATTGCATTGCATGATTCATTTATATTCTCTCCTCCCATAAATTTACCGATCGAAAGGGAAACTCCTACAAATGCATATTCAATAAGTTGAGTCACAAAAGTAACTGTGTCCATGCCTTTTCGTGGCTAATTCTTCACTGCGTGTCTTTAGTTAATCCTGACAGTACTATTTGAAAAGACAGTTTTGCGCTGTTAGTAAATCTAGCCCAAAGACTGAAACCCATAAGATAAAATATTTTGTTTAAAATAGGGCTGACACGATAAACCGATTCGTGGATCGATTCTGTGATCTTCCGAAAACATCGCGATTCTCTCTTGAATCCATTCTGATTCTTAGTTTTTAACAGCTAATGGCACTGTGTGCTTTACAAACAGCCATACTCTGCTTGCGTCCAGTTCCTTACGCACACACCATTTGAACTTCAAAAAATCCTTCATAAAGTCGAAAAGGTTGAAGCGAATTACAAGAATGTTTACAGTGGCCTTTGTTTACATGAATCTCGCGTCATAAAAGCATAAAAGCCGAGGTGCAAGTACATTTAATTACTCAGTTGAACGCACAAGCGCTGTTCTTTGTGAACATTTGAATGTTAAAAACTAGCCTAGAGTGCCATCTGCTGTTAAAAACTAAGCTCAGAATCGATTCCAGAGATCGATTTATCGTGACACCCTTAATGTGACCAGCAGTGTTGGGGAAAGTTACTTTTAAAAGTAATGCATTACAATATTGCGTTACTCCATGTAATGTCTAATTTGTATATTGCTTTCTGTAACAATCTGAGTGACCAGCCAGCAAAACCGAGCAGAATTTTTTCCCCCGTGGTCATGAGGTAAAATTTGGCAGCAGATTATTTATTTTGTAAACAAAGTTTTGTACTTCCTATTTACTTACACATTAATATGTGCAAAAAAAACGTTTTGCCGGCCCACTGTGGAGGTGCTCTAAAACCCCTGCGGAGCAATTGTTACACTAACCTGCACAACCCTAATTACAACTCAACCTTCCAGTGAAAGCAACAGACTTCCGCTTAATCCCCGCCTCTTTCTTACAATCGACTACACGCTCATTAAACTGATCTGGCTCCACAACAACCAATGGATACAACCAAGTCCCAACAATACATTTCTTCTTTTTCGCTTTCGAAAATCCATTTCACTCTGATGTACTTTAAAATATGGAAAAAGATCTATTGCTACATCCTTTTTATCGCGACTTTAATTGTCATGAAAATAATGTCAAAATACGTCAAGCTGATTCTAATTTCCTTTACTTACAATTGTTAAATATCATCGTGATGAGATGAAATTGTTTTTATTTTTATTATTATTATTATTATAATATCACAATGCAAACAAACTATCTTTATTTTATTTATACTAAATACTGTTTTTTTCATTTTCTTTTTGATCTGGGGTGAAATATGACTGAAACTGTTATTAATTTCTATTATATTAATTTCTAATGAATATAAAAAGAAAAAGAAAGAAAAAATTAATGTTGTAATCATACACTCTTATATAAACAAGCAAAATCAATCAGCACCACAAAATTGCACTGATATCTGGTAAAACTCCTTTTCATAGTTAAGGGTTCCTCTGTCAAAACATCTAAGCGAAACGGTGAGAGCTGTACAAGGCTACAGCTGGCACCCATAATAACATCAGCTAAGCAGACAAAAAAAAACAATCTACAATATGAGAACAAAGACACAGGGAGAGAAGATTGGGAGTGTTGTGCTAGTGTTAGCAAACAGGGTTTCACAGCTTCACAGAGACACTACGGGGAAACGAACACAATCTGGTGATGTCACCGCACCGACTGAACATGCAGCACTAGCTCCTCAGACAGGCAAAAGCCCTCTATAGGCAAACATTACAAAGAGCTTAAAGGAAACACCGTCCAACAGCCTACAAAGAAAATGGACAGCAGCCCACCAAACCACAAAGAAACAATCCATGCTATGCTAATCTGTATCTATTTATCTTTATCATTAATCTTCTCACAGGAGGTGGTGTAGAAACAATATATGCATGGGTGTAGTGCTGCGAAAGTCACATTTCCACTCTCCATTAACGGGCTCACGTCCTTGTCAGTGTGACGATAAGTAAAATGAGGTCCACAACAAAGCTAGAAAATGAGCCTCTGGTGTCTTTTCCCCTTGTTTCATCATGCAAAGGCTTGACTATTTTTTACATGCTTCCTAAATCAAGATGGAGAGCCATGTGGGTTAATACAATATAACATGGCATAAACATTGCACATATTTTCATCACACTATTTGACAGCATATATCTAGTGTCTTTACTTGACAGAAACATGGTGTTACCTAAAATTCAGTCCACAGAAACAGAATCTGGTACACTGGCCAAAATAGCACTGAAGGTTAATAGACTGCAGGTTAAATCATTTATTAACTGGAGCTGCTTTAAATATACTACTACAAGATGTATATAATGACTCTAGATTATAGTAACAAGCCTTTGTTTGATCCTAATCTAATCACTGCAATCCTGCGTTGAGGATAAACTGACCAAAACAGTCAGGCTGACAGAACAAAAAGAAACAAAGATCCTTAACAACAAGAAAAGAAATCAATATGAGTATATCAATATCATCTGACTCTTAAAAATCAAATTCTTGGCTAACATCCGCCACCATATGAAGTGGTAAACAAACCCATAGCCTGAAAGGAGATAGTTGCCATTGAGGTACAATTTTCCATAGACACAAAGCAGTGTACATTACCAAAATAATGCAGCGTTGTTCATTGATGTGTCAAAGGGGATGAACTAAACTATAAGGATAACCTTCCCACTGGGCCTGAGCATTGACACAAACAGCTGTCAAACAGAACACACAACATGTAAGAAGATGAATGGCTATAGTCTACACACCAGTGACCCTCAATAGGTAACAATCCTAAAGTATTGCACAACAGGCCTACAGACACACATCATCAAATTAGAATTAGGCTCCTTATAACAGCATTTGTGCCTAAACTAAAAATAACCAGGGTACATGTCAGTAACATTGCAGACATCACAATAAAGCCTTTTTACAAGCCCAATCATTCACGTAGATGCTACAACAAAAGAGCTCTTTGTTACATTTATGACATGGAATATCACTAATTTAGTTTTAATGGCTAGTCAAGAAAGCTACTTCAATTAAATATCATACAAGTAGGCTTAATTGTACAGTTGCTGTGTTTAGTAAATGCAAATTAACATCTAATCAGTTCGCACTCAGAAAACTAGAATGTATACTAGCAACTATATCGTTCAAACTAACTAAAGAGTAAGTAATAGCACTTAATGAATTATTACTGGTAAACTGGAATAGACACCAGCAACAATTACAATACATATTAGTACGAATGAATAGTTGATATGTGAACCTCAGATTTCCATAGAATTCAATGGCAGAAATGTGTAACTTGTTACCAGGAACGATATAGGCCTAAGTTATTTGGCACTACTGGGACAGAAGTGACTAGTGGCAATAAGTTATTGTAAATACTATACAAGTACTAGACTAATTAAACAGATACAGGTCAATACTGGAATGATGACTAGTCTAATGTACGTCCAGTGAAATAATTAGTCCGTTGTAATGAAAAAATAAGTACTAATAAAATGAAAAACAGACAGCCTACTAGTTCGCCTGAAAGAATAGTTTTTAAAACATAGGCACTAAAAGCTTATAAATTGTGCATAGTCATAGTTCTTTAAAAAAAACTGCTTTATTATGTATTCTGTAGAAGCATGTAAATAGTTGTTAAACAAAAAAAGTACATCTGCAATGGGTAAATTCACAGACCCCCACCTGAGGCGACTGGGTCATTCGAACGCCACAACTGTTTAAACAGCTAGTGTTGGGGAATTCGAATTCATTATTATGGCGAATTCGGCGATTCGCTCAGATTCGAATCATTCGATATCGTTCGTCAACTCAAACACGCACCAAAAACATTTCCAGCGATTTGTTTCGTTGTGATGCGGCGCGCGTCCTTACATAAATCACCCGATAGCGGATAACAAAACACACTTATGCAATGCGGAGTAAATTAACAAGCATTTGCAATGGTGTAGCTGCTTAGCTGCCCTTATTGCCCTGCCGTGGCTAGCTAGCACCAGCCTCGACTAATTCACCGAAAGGGAGTTCAAACCATAAGCTTGGCAAATCAATAACACTTGATGTTCTTGCCATGGCGATAGGGAAAAGCTAGGTGTCCGAAAGCTAGATTCCCCAGCCGTGCTTATGCCCCAAGCTACTCTCGCTAACCGAATTCTGACATGATGTTTTGCTAAATGTCAACCCATTTGGACATTCCTCTTTCCTTCCATGCAACAAAGCAAAAGGGACGGGAAAAAAGCAGCTCAAACTAGATCGGGGAGATTGCACATATTCGAGCGCAGCGAACCAGCCGGGATTGTCAAGGCCTATTTGGGCTGACAGTTCAGCGTGTGTCACATCTGTATACCTTTGTAATGCACCCGCAGATTATTCTGTGAGAGTCCGATGTAGCTGTACTTATCCTTGGGGCTCCAAGATCGGGGTAAGGGGGTCTCTTCCTCATTCACGGCCGGGTACAGCCGCTTCAAACGCTCGTTTAGCTCATGCTCTTGATAATTAAAAGCAGGATCTCCTGTTAGCAGGCTCCCCGCTCCAAGCTCTGCCATTTTTGCTTATGTGTTCGTATTCCTTCTAGTAATCCTACCCTGTTGTACCAGTCCGCTGAAAAGGAGAGAGCGCTAGACTAAGGAGAGAAACAGCAGCGGAGAGATATCCCGGATAACAGCGGCTCTACAGTGGCGTGTGGGTACTGTAGTTGAACACTGCTGACATGAGGGAAGCGCCACCAACTACCTTTAGAACGTTAGTATACACAGCACACTACATATATTACACTGCATCTTACTCTCTTACTTTCAAGTAAAGGGATGTAGTTTGACTCTGTCCAAACAATCCACAAAAACAAAATAAAAATGTGTATATATTATGATATATAAGTGTTTTTCAATACTAGTATTTAAGAAACTGTTTTCTTGCTTTTTCCCTGCCTTATAAAGGTTTTCCAGGAGGTGTTTGGATATTTAATTGAAGAATTTAAAACCTATAAGCCTATTTTCTCTGCCATCAAAAATGAGTATGACGTCACATTAGGTATGTGCAATCTTTTTAGTTATTTTTTGGGGGGTAAAATCTTTGTGCTAGCAGGCTACCACCATTTCTAGTTTTATGTTACTAATTATATCAGTATTGTATTAAACAAAAATGTGTAGTAATGCAAAGCACTTAAAATTAACTGTAGCTAACTAAGTTGTTTAATATCATGTCAAATAAAATGCTAATGGGACTCAATTGGTCAATAGTAAGTCATGAGGAAAATAATAGATGAGATGTCACTAATCAAAGTGTTAATGTCTCTCCCAGCACATCTTCGTGAACAGATCAGGAATCTGCTACCGCTGCGGGCAAAGCTGGTGCTTGTGTCGGAACAGTGTGAGAAGAGGATTCTGGATCAGAGAGTACAGGAAAGAGATGAGCTCCGAGCTCTGAAGCGAGAGTGTCAGCGTCTGCAGCGTGTCATCGAGAGTATGAGAGGACAGCAGACTGCTCTGCAGATTCAGGTGCAGTTCATTTATTATGCCTGTCCTTTTGTAGAGATCTGGCTACCTTGGATTATTCACTATTCTAAGTGGTTAAAGGATGTTTTGTCAGTATTTGAATGAAATGTACAGTATATCGGTTAATGACAAGCATGACCTCTCAATAGGCTACAATATGGGAAAGCTTTTCAAATGAAATCATATGATCCCATTCTCTATGAGAAATGAATCATATTATGTTGTGGTTTCTCTCAGCATATTATGTGGCTATCTTATTAACATTTGAACGCAGTTTGAATTTGAAATTAATTGAAATGTTTATGGCAGATGCTTGTCAGGGCCAAACGATGGGTCATTGATTTACATCTCAAGTGGTGCAGGTCATTCACATACAAATTTAATAGAGGAGGAGAGTGAAACTAGAAATATTCCTAGTGTTGTTGAATTAGATTTTATTGTTATACTTTAATTTTGTTTCTTATTTTTAGTTAGGATCATTTTTAGTAATTGTTGTTATGTGCTATTGTAATTTAAATTAGTTTTATATAGTTTGTGTTTTTTATTTGTCTTTATTTGTATTTAAGTTTTAGTAATTTTAGTACTTAAACTTAAACTTTAGTTAATTTATGTTTTTTAATCTAATAATTAAAAAAAATGTTTTATATAAGATTTTTTAAACTTTATTTAAAGGGATAGTTCACCCAAAAATGAAAATTCTGTCATTAATTACTCACCCTCATGTTGTTCCAAACCCGTAAGACCTCCGTTCATCTTTGGAACACAAGTTAAGATATTTTTGAAGGAATCTGAGAGCTCTCTGACCCTCCCATAGACAGCAAGGATCCTTACACGATCAAGGTCCAGAAACATAGCTAGGACATTGGTAAAATAATCCATGTGACATCAGGGATTCAACCGTAATTTTACGACGCTATGAGAATACTTTTTGAGCACAAAAGGAAAAAAAAAACGACTTTATTCAACAATTCGTCTCCTCTGCATTACCCTAGCGCCATTTTGGAGAGTATGCTGTTTTGTGTCAGCTGTGCCACGAGGATACGCTGTTTACGTTGTTTACACTTTGATTTGAACGAAAACAACGTATCCGCGTGGCACAGCTGACACAAAACAGCATAAGCAATTTACGTTCAGGATACTCTCCAAACAGGCGCTAGGGTGACGCGGAGGAGACGAATTGTTGAATAAAGTCTTTTTTTTTTCGCACAAACAATTTTCTCGTAGCTTTGTAAAATTACGGTTGAATCCCTGATGTCACATGGATTATTTTACCAATGTCCTAGCTATGTTTCTGGGCCTTGATCGTGTAAGGATCCTTGCTGTCTATGGGAGGGTCAGAGAGCCGTCAGATTCCATCAAAAATATCTTCATTTGTGTTCCGAAGATGAACAGAGGTCTTACGGGTTTGGAACAACATGAGGGTGACTAATTAATGACAGAATTTTCATTTTGGGGTGATCTATCCCTTTAAGCTTTATTTCAGTTGCTGAAAACAGTTGTTAATATTTTAATTTTAGTTGCCATTAACAATCACAACACTGCTGCTTCCATAAAGCATATATGACAATAGTAAATATATAATGAAACACAAACTCATGTGTATCTCTCCCACAGGTTGATCACCTAAAGGAGGATCTGGCCACCCAATATCAGCTATACAGGGATGAACGTGATGCACGAAAACTGCTCATCACCAGAATCAGCACAATGACTTCTACTCAAGACACTGAACATGATGATAATAATGAAGGTTATAATGAAGGTTACACGAATGACGATTAGTAGTTGAGTCTGAAAAAAATAAACAAACATGGAAACAAACATTTTTACTGCTGGAATTTAGTGTATGAGAAGAAGGAACCAGTGGTAGGATGACCACCTGTCTTAAAATTTGAGCGCTTTGTCACTCTTCCTGCAAAACGTAAGCAGTGTCCCGCATTTCAATTTTGTGTGTATTATTATTTTTTTTTTACCTGAAATTACAATACCACAATAAGAAAGATAATTTAAAAAAATTTAATTTTAGTGCATTAGTGCAGCAGTCATGTTATAGCTAAGTGTGGGGAAAATAACAACCAAAGCATTCATAGAGAGGGTTTTTTCTGCTGATGATGACTGGACGGAGCAAAGGAATCAGTGTGGACCTCATCAAAAGTCGTTAAATACAGCCGGGCAGGATTTTTTTTTTTTTTTTTTGAAGATGATGAATATTAGCCAGGCTGGAGCTTTTTTTACAGAGGTTTGATTGCCAGGAGTGAGTTGCAGTAGTCAGGAGGTTGAGTAGTGAGGAGGTGATTTGACAGAAACTTTGCTTGTTCCTCTCAGAGGATGAATCTGAGGATCCTGTGGTGGTGAAAATGGCTTTGCAGGTGTGTAGAGAGGACCTTACCAAAGTCCAAGTTGAGCTTAACCGCCTCCAAGCCGAATACAGTGATGTGGTCCCACGACGAGACTGGGATAACCTGAATCATATGCATGAGGAGACTTTAATAAAGGTATGGAGAAAAATAGATGTATTATTTTTAATTTACGTCCAAGATAATGAATCAACCAGTTTACCATGCAAAATATTTCGAGTTTATGTATGGTAGGATTAAATATTTTATCTTTTATATTACTTTGTAAATTGTATCTGTTTTATCTACTACACTACGATTCAAATGTTTGGGGTCAGTTTTTTTTAAATGAATAATTCTGTTCAGCAAGAATGCATTAAATTAATCAAACACCCAAAAGAGTAACTCTTAAACATCAAGCATGAAATAATGATATGTAATTGATTATAATATTTAATGTGATATCTTTCCATGTTTTAGCTGGAAACCTTACAGACAGACTTTGACCAGTTAAAGTCTGAGTATGACACACTGCTTGAGGTTCATCGTCAGGTACTTGAGCAGAGAAACAGACTTCACAGAGGTCTATAATGATAAATAAATAATCGTAAACTCATCTGATTACTAAACATTATTCTAATCAACAGTCAGCACCTGCTGTGTTACACTCCAATCAGTCTGTGCTGCAACATGGCTCTGATAACAAACATATTGTTACAACTCCCAGACCAAACTGGGAACAATGTTCAGGTAACAGTATCTGAACTGTCCAGGCTGTCGTATCTGTTCTTTATATAGTGCAGTTAAGCTTATGTTTGAGATAATCTTGTGTAATGTGTGTTGTAGACATACTAGGAGGCAGTGAGCAATGTAAAGAGCTCTTTGAAGGTCAATCCAGCCAAAAGAGGCTGGAGATCTTGCTGCAGCAGATGAATGGCCAAAATGAGTTCTTCACTGGTCTTGTAAGTGTTCTTAACATCAAAAATAGCAATAGAGCACTGCAGTGATGCATATTTATAGGCCAGCATGAAAGTTAGTATTACCCTGGTTCTCTCAATAAAAACCCAATAGGATTTTTCCATTGGCTTTTGGATTATTGCAGAAAATAATCTCTTTGACTAAATAAATTTATGATTTTTATCTATTTAGCCTACATATAATAATACATTAAAAACAAGATGCTAAACATAGGCATATAAATGAGCTACACCAGCTTTGCTAGGCTGAAGTAAAGTTGTTTTCACAGGGCACATCCAGTGACGTCCCCATTTATCTACAGTATGAGGGGAAACTTAAGAATCTTAAGCTCAAGGAAGCAGATGTAGTCAGAGTTATTAAAGACATCTGGAGGGAAAAAACTTTAGAGAATGAAAAGGTATGTATGGCATAACAATATCCTGTCTTGATTTGTTTAAACAGTCACTAGTTATGAGTATTTAATGCTGTATTTCTCCACACATTTTTCTTCAATGGAGAATGATGACTCCAGAGATCTGCAGATGTTTCTTCACAGCTATCTTGTGGAACATTATAAGGATAAGGCAGGAGAGTGGGCTTACAGCTTGATGGAAAGCATTCAGAACAATCTTGAAGATGATCTCATTTGCCTTTTTAATGACATCTTGATTGGGAAGGTTTGCGCTTAATCTAAAATAATCATTTGTGTAAATGTCCATAGCACTGGTGAACAATTAAGTCCAATGAAAGCAGGTTTTTCAGCTGCCCCCCAAAATATCAAATGTTTATTGGGATATAATATATATATACAGTATATATACTGTATATTAAATGTTGCTGACTGCAATTTTGTGGCAGGTTGATGAGAGTATCTACCATGGACAGACTCAGCTGCTGTCTCACTTGCTCAAGGTTTTAATTCAAAGTGACACAACACAATGCGGATCACTAACTGTCTTAGAATTTAGGTGAGCAAAAACTCTGAATTCCTCAGTTGAAAATGTATTGAATTTGTGTAAATGTCCATAGCACTGGTGAACAATTAAGTCCAATGAAAGCAGGTTTTTCAGCTGCCCCCAAAATATCAAATGTTTATTGGGATATAATATATATATATACAGTATATATACTGTATATTAAATGTTGCTGACTGCAATTTTGTGGCAGGTTGATGAGAGTATCTACCATGGACAGACTCAGCTGCTGTCTCACTTGCTCAAGGGTTTAATTCAAAGTGACACAACACAATGCGGATCACTAACTGTCTTAGAATTTAGGTGAGCAAAAACTCTGAATTCCTCAGTTGAAAATGTATTGTGATTATTTTTATTATTACATTATGTGTGCTAATTTTCAGTGATGCATTGAAGAAGGCCTTCCCTCTGAAGGCAGATCAAGACATAGAGGAGCTGTTGGCGGTGGCTCAGACAGAGCTGAAGAGTAATGGAGTGCGCATTGCTTATCAGACACTTTATACAGAGGTCAGTTTGAATGTTTTGGCTATAACCTAATTGAAGTTGAATGTATACACTACCATTTAAAAGTTTGGTTTGATGAGCTATTTTAATGTTTTTGAGAAGTCTCTTATGTTCACCAAAGCTGCATTTATTTTTTGGAATATACATTTAAAAATAATAATATTGGAAATATGATTATGATTTAAAATTACTATTTCTATTTGAAAACTTTAAATATTTATATAAATGTATTTTTTCCTTTCATGGAAAAGCTGAATTTTCAGCAGCCATTACTTCAGTCTTCATTGTCACGTGATCACATGATTTTTTTTTTTTTTTAGAAATCTTGATACATTTTTATATTTTTTGCTGAATGTAAAGTTTAAAGTCCAGAATTTATTTAAAAAATAAATCTTTTGTAAATGTATAAATGCCTTTACTGTCTCTTTTGAACAATTTAATTCATCCTTGCTGAATAAAAGTATTAATTTCTTAAAAAAAGAAAAAAACCTAACTTTTAAATGACACCGCATATATAAATATATATACTGTATATAGAATACAGTATAAACAGAATATATATATACATAAACACATGACAAATTCTGTAAAATTCCATGTTATACAATAAATTCAATTTTTATGACTGAATTCTGCGATTCCGTCAGCATTTTCTGTATCGTGGAAATCATAGGGCCCTACTAATGTAGCAAACGAGTATGATAAGCTCATTGTGAGAGTAAAAGATGGGGGCATTGTTTATTTATTTTTAGCATCGTGTCTCACCAACTAGGTGACAATGTAGTGTTAAATCACCATTCAACAGAGCACGGTTTATGGCGGGGGTTCCCCTGGTACAATTTGCATTCCAGGGGCTAAATATCACGTTATTGGGGTCGCTTCAACCCACGGCAACATTGTTAAAGTTATCATAAGCATTAAGTTAAACAAAAGTTATCATAAGCATTGTAATATTTGAAGTGGATGTCATGACAAATGTTAGTTGACTGGGAAGATTTAAAATGAGTGTTTCATTCATAAATTCGTTAGATCTTAACTTCATGCTGTGGAAATACAATCTGGAAGACAGAAGACAACAAACTCAGCACTAAAAAGAGGTGTGGCTATAAAAGGTCTATTTAGTGCCAGAAATCTAAAAAGGTGCTCTCAGTAATTTTGCCAATTAAAAACTTTACACACAAAGGATTTATTTAAACTCGCGTAGAAGTGAAATGGCGCCAAATTTCTATGCCTATCAGTTCTCCTATCAGAAGTTGTTTATTTACTACATGGAGCGGGTTGCCTCCTTATGGGCTCCGCCATGTTGGCATCACATGACCTGCTAGACATATTATGCAATTAACAAGTTGATAATAAAATGTTTACTTTACATATTGCTTTTAATCAGTGTGCGATGCCCTTAGCAAAGTATAAACAAAAGTATATCTTAAACCCAACAGCGTAGCAAACACAGTGCGAATGATAGTGACCAATAGTATATAAACTTAATGCACCCAGGTTGTTAGGCATCAATATGATGTCCAAGATCACTGGTACTATTGGCTCAAATGAAAGCCAGTTCACTTTCAAATGTAGTTTTAAAAAAGTTTTTTCCCCCTCTGTCTTGTCAGTTGTTGTCAACCCCCTTAGTCTGTCATATACATTGAGTCTTTTATTCTGTCTCCACCAGTGCCTGTAGCAGGGTGTATCAGAATGGGAGACAAGCCAATTTGGGAACAAATAGGATCGGCAATTGTCGAAAAGCTTTCCGTACGTATTTGTGTGTGTTTTGTTAGAGTTGAAGGTTGATTTAAAGGGATAGTTCACCCAAAAATGAAAATTCTATCATTAATTATTCATCCTTATGTCATTCCAAACCTGTAAGACCCTCATTCATCTCCAGAACACAAATTAAGATATATTTTATTTCCATTTCTTCTCTTCCGTACAGCATTAGCAGCACCACACGCATGCGTTGTGGAACTGTTGTGAATGGCAGCGTAGACTGACCTGGAAGAGAAGAAATTGTTAAATAAAGTTGTTGTTTTTTTATTTTCTTTGTGCACAAAAGGTGTTCTGTCAGTTGCGTTGCTGTCTGTGCAGGATCAGAAAGCTCTCGGATTTCATAAAAATATCTTAATTTGTGTTCTCGAAGATGAACGAAGGTCTTGCAGGTTTGTAACGACATGAGGGTGAGTAATTAATGGCAGAATTTTCATTTTTGGGTGAACTATCCCTTTAAAGTAATTTGATAGGCTAGGGTTTATTTCCTCTAATTTATTTTTGAAAATAGAGGTTGGGAGTTTCCCCACTATCAGCCAATAAATAAATGTGACAAACAAAATTAAACAAAATTGAGATTTATACATCATCTGAAAGCTGAATAAATAAGCTTTCCATTGATGTATGGTTTGTTAGGATAGGACAATATTATATTGGCTGAGATACATATATTTGAAAATCTGGAATCTCTAAGAGTGCAAATAAATCTAAATATTGAGAAAATTGCCTTTAAAGTCCAAATGAAGTCCTTAGCAATGCACATTACTAATCAAAAATTAAGTTTTAATATATTTATTGTAGGAAATTTATAAAATATCTTCATGGAACATATTTACTTAATAACCTAATGATTTTTGGCATAAAAGAAAAATCGATAGTTTTGACCCATACAATGTATTGTTGGCTATTGCTACAAATATACTCGTGCAACTTAAGACTGATTTTGTGGTCCAGGGTCACAAATAAATGTAAAAAATCTCTCAAATTGACCATATGTTGTGCATCCCCATTTAAATATTGATAAGATGTTTAATTACCATATGTATCTTTCAGTTTAAACAGTTATTATATACATTTTTTTATTATTCTTTTTTTTTTCCCAGAGCCTGCCCTTCACAAAAATAGCTCACAGCATCACAGCACAAGACCATCAGCCCACCCCTGATAGCTGCATATTGAGTATGGTAGTAGGCCAACTAAAAGTAAGTATTTTCTAAATTTAATTTTGACCTCTGAGAGTTATGCTATTACAGCAGCGCTCGAGGTGAACACTTTAGTCAAATATGTATGTGATAAGGTCTAGGAGGGCATTCTCCTCATTTGAAATGCATAACATCACCTTAATCCCAGTGGCGTTTAAATCGAGAGCGGCCGTGGACAGTTTAAGCCTCTCTTGATTGCCCTCTCGCTCCACCTTACGTGACATAGTACTGCATGGTCCAAGATTTCATAAGCATTTCAGAGCTGTAGTGTATGTGTGTTTGTCTATCAGGCAGATGATGACCAGGTGCTGGGCTTCCACCAGAACTTTCTGTTGAAAAGTATCAACACTGCCTGGGTTTGCACCAACGAAGTCTTCAGGCTTGCCCTGCACAACCTTTAAGCTTAAAGGCTCTCGGTGGTCACATGGCCTTTCCTCCTTCTCTTAATGTCTGTAAGGACCAGTGTCCGCTTGGGTTCACGCACACCGTACGGGCCTCTCTACTAACGGCTTTAAGCTGTGTTCAGATCGAGCGTCTGTGCGGATTTAGTATGTTGGGAATGCTATGACATTGAATATGTTCATGCAGGTTTGCCTGGTGAATATAAACACATAAACATGCAATAAATATAAACAACATATTATTCAATACATTTTATTTTTAGATTAATATATTAAGTTGCTCAAGCAAGTGGCAAAACATTTAAACACAGTCTATAGCTTAGTTTTCTTGCATTCAAAGGTAGTAGGCTATCACAAACATTTTGAATTAAAACCTACCACTGGCAGTCAACTCTTGTGCCTTTTCTTTTGCATTTAAATCTTTATAACAAGCAATCCTGCTGGCCATAAAGCACTTTGTTTTTTGTTTTACCTCCATGAGTGCCATTTATTATGTTGCCTTGTTTATCTAAAAGTGCACTTGTCCTGGCTTTAAACTTAACTAAAAAGCAATGTGATGACTGTGAAACACAGTAGATTTAATTATATGCATTTATGGTGTAATTATACATTTTAGTGTCTATCCATGTTCATTGTTTACCACGAACAATGTGCTGTCACTTTAATTCAGTGCATGCAGCAGAGCAAAAATAGACTGATACAGAAACAATCGCTGCAATGCTGCATACGCACCACTCCTGGAACACATTGCCAGACAGCATCCATGTGCAGTGTGAATGCTCTAACCCAGTGGTTCCCAACCCTGGTCCTGGAGGCACCCCAACACTGCACATTTTGCATGTCTCCTTTCTCTGACACACCAATTTCAGGTCTTGGAGTCTCTACTAATGAGCTGATGACCTGAATCAGGTGTGTTTGATTAAGGAGACATGCAAAACGTGCAGTGTTGGGGTGCCTCCAGGACCAGGGTTGGGAACCACTGCTCTAACCTGTTAACTTAGGCACTGAAAAAAATCCCTCATATGCACTGCAATTGGAGTATGTGTGAAACGGGTGTAACAATGAGCTTTTGTTTTGACCTGTCTTTATATGCATCTGATATTTTGTAATAAAGAGTTCCTTCACATTAAAAACTAACGTGACATTGTTCAAAATGGGTGAAACCTGGATGAAATACTTGGGATGAGATGTGTTTCTATTGAGCTTTTAGATTCTATTTATAAATATGCAGAGTCAAATGATGTATGAATGAATAGGGATTTAATATTGGGGTAAAATGAGTGCTATAAATCTCATTATTTTGAATTAGTCTTTATTTTTATATTTTCTCTAATTATTAGTAATTTTGTGCTTTTGTCACTTTTATTCATTTAATTTTTTAATTTTCATTCTAGTTTTAGTTATTTTAATACTTCTATTTATTTCATTACTAGTTTAAGTTTTTCTTTTACTTGATTTTAACTTTCCTTTTAATAAACAAAAAAGAATAGTTTTAGTTAACTAACAACACTGAGTACAGTGTGTGCTACAATTACAACAGTTGGGTTATCTTGCACAAAAAGCATTTTAGAACCTTGTGACTTCTTTAAAATTACTAAAATGAATTTAATAAAAGCATGGTCATAATAACCTAATATTTGGCCACAGGTGATGCCTTGTCATGGATTTTAGCATTATTAGTGGGGATTCATTAGTGAAGATCATTTCAATTCAGTACTAGGTTCAGTGTTTATGTGAGAAACTGACCCAGATTGCGTAGTACCACATTTTGTCATGTTTTTATTTTTGATTTCGCCATCATCAGCCAAAATATGCTGTAATTATGTAAAGATATTATGTACTTAGATGGAAAAAAGTGGATATCAGCCTTTAGTTTGCCGTGTGATTCTTTAATGCAGCTTTTGTCTTTCTGTAGCTGAACTAATATGCTTTGAAACTTGCATGTTTTTAGTGTAACAGTATTAGAATTTTTATCCAGGGTTAAGTTCCCTTCTCTTTAATGAAGTGTAGCACAGTTGTATGAGAGCCTCTGCCTAAGTCTCTTCTGTGTTTCTGCTTTGTCTAGGCAGATGATGACCCCATCATGGGATTCCATCAGAGCTTCATCCTGAAGAACATTAACGAGGCGTGGGTTTGCACCAATGACATGTTCCGCCTGGCGCTGCACAATTTTGGTTAAACGCCCCATGGCTAGCAGGAAGGAAGTGGGAGAAGGTGGAGGATGGGGTTCCGCCCTGATGACGCCCGAACCCGTCAATCAGCCCTTCATTCATCACACTCAAGAGAAACGCCAGCGGATTACAGCAGTCAATCACAGAAAACATGCAGGCATATACAGTACTGCCTCTACTCCAGAAATGACATGTTTCTTTGCTGAAAGCCCACACATCCATCAAACTGACCCTTTTCCTTCGCCAACCTGCATGATGATGGGGAGCTTAAATATCAGAGGACACCCTGACCAGGACAAATACGTATTACCCTAACCTTGGCTGTTTGATATTTACATTTTAGTTGCTGATTTTGACTTTGAAATAACAACCGTCTTTCTTTCTTTCTTCTGAATTGTGTTCAGCTTGTTTTTAGTAAATGCTCATTGAAGTTTAATCTCTTTGTTTTCGCCCCACTTGAAAATTGGTGTGATGTCAGGTTGCTCTAGCTATCCAAAGAACACCACCCTAATTTCTCCTTCCCCTCAGACCAGTGTGCTTCCCACTTTCTGCTCACTGCTCTCTGTGACAATAATTTCCAAGCCACGATACACAATAAAACCTTTGACTTTTTCTTAACAACGTCATCATCTTGTTCATCCCCCTGTCTGGTTTTGCGTTGACCTTTTTTCCCTTTTCTACGCTTGCCTGTTTGTGTTTTTGATACTGCCTCATATTAGATTCTCACAATAAGATTATAGATTTATTTGAGCAGAGCAGAAAACAATGGAGCTGTTATTTCTCTTTTTACAGGTGGCCAGTGTTTCCTGAAGCAGTTGTTTAGACTTTAAAAAATAATGTTGGTTTATTTGGTAGAACATTGCTATTATTAGCAAAGGATCACATGTCATTATTTTGCCAAATTGTTCCTAACCCTAAAAATGGTAGAATCAGAAGTGGATGCTCTTGTTAAAAAGAGCAAAAACCGTAAGCATCCGCCACTTATGCCACATAAATAAAACAAGTTTTGCTAAGGTTAAGAAAGAGTTTGTAACAAGAAGAAAAAAACCCCCCAGATGAATCTTCTCAGTGCATTTATTCTTTGAGGTACCCTTTCTGAGAGGTTTTATTTTCCCTGTTTTCCATTGATTCAAATCTTGAAGATGTGGGATGTGATGTTTCATACGCTTGTATGAATGTAAATGTCATCGAGTTTGTAGTGTGGCCAAAGCTGTTATTGCCTTCCATATTTAGGCTTATACTTTGACATTTTCAGTATAAGAAGGATCACAGACACAAAGCTTGAAACATGACTAGTTGTGGGGGAAAAAGATGACTATTTTCTAATTTCCACAAAATGTTTACACTAAGGGAGTTATGTTCATTGTTTAGGATTAGAAAATCATATTCACAAAATATGAAGGCCTTTGTGCCAAGCGATGGTACAGATATTTTAGAAAGACGTCTTTTGCATTGTAGCTTTTTGCACTGAAATATCTAGACAGATCTGCTAGAACATCAGTATAATGAGTCACATTCTTGCATTATATTTTTGCTGGAATACATGTATTGTACACGTACTTCATGCTTGCTTGACCCTGCAGATATCCACTTTCTCTGTGGTTTAAGGGGAAGAGCAAAAGAAGACTTGCTTTTCCCAACAAAAGCAACAGTGATACAATGTGAATACAGTAAGAGACTACTTCAGCTGCCTACATGTATGTGGAAATAAAGGAGATCAAAGTAAAGTGTGCTGTTATGTTATTTCTATCGGTGGAAGGAATAGTTTACAACTAGTTGAAGGTGATTTTCTGACAACCACTTATAGAAAAAAAAGTAAATATAATAAGTTTAATGATTATGATAACACGCCAGTAAAACATAAATATGAATTTGTGACCTCTAAAATCAGACAAATTCAAGAGTGATGTAGTGCCTGTCAAGTTATTCACTCCGGAACGGAAGAAATCCTGCCAGCAGAGGCGGGGGAATGAAATGCAGGGAACGCTCAACGGAAGTTGACGGACGACTGCAAGCTTTATGAGGGGCGAGTTCAGACACAAAATTAAACTATTGAGAATTTGATAGTTTCCAGTGATTTAATCCCCCCTTCCCTACTCTATGGCTTCTGGTTCCAACATGGACATAGAGGGCGCGACCCAGCACCTTCGGGACATCTTAAAACTGGATCGTCCCGGTAATTCGGCCGGTAAGTTGCCGGGGAAGGGAGCAGCTAGGCCGCGGCGCGATGATGCTGCGCAGCGCTGGATTTCAGCACGAGCCACCTGACTACAGTCGCTCAAAAACGCGGGACAGCGCTAACTATGTTTTATAAGTGACAAACATCATGTTTTGTGTATTAATGTGATTTAATAAAAGGAGGGGTAATGTAGCATGTAAGGGCTAAACTCGCAGCTGCTTTGCTCAGACAGAAAGTGTTGAGTATTAATTGCGACATGAGCATAAATGTTATTCAAGAGTTTAATTATATTTGATATGCATCAGTATGCAGTGACTTGATAACGGTGACATTATAGGTTTCTGAGAGAAGACATGTCAAGTCAAAAAGACGGTTTCAAAACCGATACAACTTTTTTGTGCATCATAACAAGGTTTTGCCTTGTGTTAGAGCAATACATATTCAATATGTTACACACGTCGTATTTATCAGGTATGCACACCTCATATATCATATATACTTATATATTTATTTATTTATTTTGAAGAAGAAAAAACATAATATTGGGAGGGAAAATGTAAGTCATATTAGTTGTATTGAAAGTCATTAACGTAATAGTCAGAGAGTGCACCAGTGCATTTTTACGACTTGATTTATCAGTCATTTCATTCCACAGAGCCCTCTTTGGTAGAGAGCCAGAGAAAACCATCTTTCAATGGAGA